AAGTCGAAGTTCTCCTCGATCAAGTTTCACGACCCGCTTTTCTACTGCAATAGGGACCTGATCGATTAAACTTTGCCCAGGATGAAAGAGTTCACATATGAGCTCCAGAGGTGCCAAATATTCAGCGCGAATTTCATACACAAGTTTCTCACCTAAGGAAAGCTCAAAATCGTGAAAATACTCAAAATACGTCTCGTTATCGTCAACGACAACTCTGTTGTCAAAAATAATTATTTCAGCTTCTAGGTTTAGAATGGCATAATCCATTTCATCTGCGTCCATCCGCATGACCGCAAAAAACTGCGTCAATTTACGTTACCCCGTCTGATTTCATGATTTCAACAAACATATATTACTCATTTTAAAAATTAAGTCTAGCAGAACAAGAATTTAAATGCCTTTCACCCCGACATACTCCGGAGCTCAAACTTACGGAACAGTATCACACAGTTTCTATTTTTTATAAGACCACATAGAAGATAAGCATAATGATTTTTTTAAATGCAATAATCGTAGAGTACTTTCGAGGAAAAATTAATTGTATCGAAATATTTTCTTTCCTTATGCTCCTGTCTTTTCCTTACTTTTAGGCACAAATGCTGAAAACGTATTCCTGTATTCGCTGCAAATAATGAGCATGAATTAGCCAGCGAACATTCCGATTCATTTTTTTGGCATTGTTAAATTACCAGTACATTCACCTCGAAACATTTAAAGCTCCAAAATAAATTTGATACCCCGGACTAAAGCTGCACCACGGCAATTTCAGTCCATTATTACGGTAGATTTACTTCTTCGTCGCAAAACTACTCACAACAGACAGAGAAATCCACTCATCTCAACCACGAACTCTTACGTAATAAAGCCTAGAGGAGCCAGTCAAGGGGAAAGAAACGGATTGGGCAGTAAATCCGATCTCAGCTTGGCACGAATTCCACATGGGATGCGATACAACTTAGCCCACAGCCACCGAAAGCAATAATAGAGATAATACACCGAAGAAGAACTTGTTTTCTCTAGACGTATTGTAGCATATACGTGCTCAATGACCCAATTCCCCACTGGGGAATTCGCCAACTAATACAAGGAAAAAAAGGATTCCAGTTTATTCCTCTCCAGAAACCCAGCGATTTAGAGCTAACAAAATAATATTGCTAAAATTTGCACGCAAGTGAATAAGGCTTTCAAAAGGCACTAATTTTGACACATCACGAATAGGTCGTCAACAACGCGGAACATCTGTTTCGCCCAAATGCAAAAATCCAGCTTGGTAGAATAAGCCGTTGAAATAAAAGACATTGCTTTTGCCAATTGAACAAGAAAAACAGAGCAAAAATAGCGAAGTGTCCGACACCAGACACCCCCACATTTATTTTACTAATTTCCCCTTCAGCGGAAACTTGGCGATCCGGTAATTGTTGGACTTCTAGTGCATGTGGTAAAAGATTATGAAGATAAAATTTGTTTCAACTACTGTATTTCACTCACTAACTATTAGGTGAACACTTCTGCGAACGCGTCTTTGCTCGATTAAATTTGTAATTCTAGGTTCAGCACACTGTCAACCGTACCGGCAATGATTTCTTACAACGAAAATTGCGTGTAAGGCTTTGCCTTGCCTCGGCACAAAATCTTGCCTCGGGCCAAAATCTTGCCTCGGCACAATCGATGTGCTTGTGGAAATCACCAAGAACAGTTTACAGCTATTATCCACGAATTAAGATCATTATGGGAACCCTCGACGTGCCAGGCGACGTTGGAATTCCATCACGAACTTCCCATTGCCTCACTACCACCAAACCCATAATACACTACTGTACCCAGAAAAAGGTTCACATGAAAACAGGGATGAAGATTTGATGGTACACAATTAACCATCAGCAGCTCTTAGAGCTGGTTTTGGTGCACTTGAGTCTGTGATCGAAAGATATCAAAATGACTTGCTGCTCATACATTGACTGTAAATGACTGACCAGACTACACACAATTTTCAATGACAAAAATAGTTAAGGTTCGCAATACGCAACTAGATCAAACCAAATACTTAGTTGAAGCACTACTCAACAACAAAATTAGCCCAACATATTCCAAGCACTCACAACTTTCATCTTAATGCTTCGATTATCTCACGTAGGAAGCTTTCAACTCCAACGATGAGTAGCACAAATAAAAATTTGACAATTAAAGAGCGAGAGATATAGTACAAACATAAAGTAATCTCGAACAGAGCATCTGCAGAGATCGAGGAGTGCTCTGGAAGAGGAATCAGAAGAAAAAATTGTACAGTACTGTAATTCATACTCAATCTTACTTGTATTTCAAATGACATGAATTCCACTTTAAGTCGAGTAGTCACTATTTTGCCAGTCTTACAGCTAGGTAAGAATTCGTAAGACTTCGGAACCACGTTTACTTCAAGGTCAGTCACACTTTCGGTGGTCGGTAACTCACGAAAACACGTTTTAATTCTCTGATACTGTAATAGAATATGAATACAAATGAGGCGAACAGAAAAATGAAGTACAAAATATAATATAAGGTACGGTACTCACTGCGTAGTAGCCATGATCAGAGTGGATGTAGTCTTTCAATCCCCGGCTGGGGAAATCAGGAAGATAGTCTTGACGCGTAGATTCGCCGGATATTGGGAATCATGAGTTCACAAGTACGGTATTTCAGAGGTCAACACCCGACGGAAACGAACACATGCAAAAGGTGAAAATCACAACGGTATTGATTAATGCAACGAGATTGATTTAAAAGTGTGAACTGTAACCAAGCCGAACGAACGAGGCTGCACTCCGTGGGAATTTTTTCCCGCGATATACGATCAGCAAAAAGTGAAAGACATGGAGAAATGAGAAATGAGAAGATTACGCTTTATAGTAACACCGGGAAAAGACGGCCTTTCGTAAGCTCACTAATACAAAAATGTCATCGAAAAAGCTTCACCAACACTCGAACACGAAGAGGATTCACGGTCTTAATTTTTGCAGAGGGAAATCGGTTCCAACTGTAAAGCGAAACGAACCTGAAGATTCATGTTGTCAAATTATGTGACTGACCTTCAAACTTTGAACAACCATTCTTCACTGGTCCCCGGTGTCATGAAGATAAATTCAAGTTAATCCATACTTAGTCAACCAAAAATAACTGGCACTTCATTTTTTTGGATACCTCAAGGTCCTCAACAGCCATACGAGCACTTTTTCATGAAGCAATGAAAATCATAGTACAGTACTGTATTATGAACTTCACTTAATTCATCCTGCTGGAAAATATTTACAGCATTCATCGTAGAATTAAGGAACAAAAATAGCTGCAAGTAAATCCAGTTAGACTACAGCTTTGTCTTAACCTTTTCCACGGCACAGTGACTTCGCGAAAGCCCTTGAAAAATTAAAGAATATTTACAGCATTCATCGTAGAATTAAGGAACAAAAATAGCTGCAAGTAAATCCAGTTAGACTACAGCTTTGTCTTAACCTTTTCCACAGCACAGTGACTTCGCGAAAGCCCTTGAAAAATTAAAGAGAAACAAAACGAAAGACAGAATGAAGAGGTTTTAACCGGAGTCGCGGACATTCGCTCCTTTCACTAATACTTTCTCAAGAAACACAGCGACAGCAGCTAGGATCAAGCAAACGGCATTCAGTCGGAATATTCAAATTAGCTCAGTCATTCTTCCGCCTAGGTTATTCATGAAACCATCAAAAACAACACGGTGATCGAAACTTTTCTGAATTCCCGTTGAATTATTCACGCGTTCAAGCGCGGAATGGGCCGTAACTGCTTGGGATCTGAATCCTAACGCAGCAGAACGTACTGTACTTCGCGTTCGGGAAAATGTAACAAATGAGGCCCTTTTCTTCGCTGCTTCTTGAACCGTCTGATTTCACGCATACCTTCGCACTTTTTCACGATTCCTTGAAGGATTTCGCCATTCTCACGCGAATTACAGTACTTCTTTAACGAAAACGTCTGTTCAAACGACAGAAATAACTTTCCTGTGATCCACGAAGACACGCGAGGTGTTACCCGCTGGACTTCCCCTTCGCTATTTAAAAATCGCTCGATTAATCGTGTTAATTTTAGCACGATTGCCGAACGATTCAGGACGGTTCATCGCTTCAATACGTTGACGTATAATCATTATCAGTCAACTTCGAGAGATCATGGATGATATAAAACGAACTTTCATTTCAGTGCTTCGCGCACACGGAATCATTTTCGCTGGCGTAAGTTCATATACAGTACTGTACTTCAACCTTGCATATAATTCGGGATTTAATGGAAATGCAATGTCCTATCCATGTTTTCGTCACTGATCTCGGAACACTTGAAAAACGAATTATGCAGCAACTTATTATAAAGCACCCTTGAAGGATAAATTCAGTATCGAAATTCTGTACTCAAGAGTGCATATCGGACATCAGAAGCAATCCCGTCTACACAAATTCAAGGAATCATAGAATATGCATACATTCCCGCGTATATGCAAGATACACCCTGACATATATTCAAAATAAGAGTCCCGATTTAGCACTGAATATGGTAGTACAGTACTGTACATCGTACAAGTGAAAGACAAGTCGAACTGCAAGTGGGGCAAAAATTACTGCTTGGTCGAGCTTGAACACAGAAATGCGTCACCTTTTGCAGATTAAAGCTAGAAGACACTTACTCCACCATTAGGGTCAACAGTCTATGTAAACCAAGGATTACCACTGGACAGTCACGAATCATTGGCATAGAAACACAGGCGATCCGCATTAGAGCATGTTTGACGGCTGCTGAGAAGCGAAGATACCGCCAAGACATGAAGAGAAATCACGAATCTTCTTCACGCATCAGGACGACCACATGATGCTGTTCTAGCCTCGCAACTCAGCATCCGCAAGAAGCTGGAAACGAACAGATAAGGTGCTCGCACTGTTGCCATGTGCCCACCAACCCGCAACGCTCAAAACGCACGCAAAACTGTCCCTCGCCCCCAACCATTACCCGAAGTCCAAGAGAAGTAAGGAGTGCTCGTTCACTTCCTTCCCTGCATTCGGCCGCTGCCGGAAAGATACCATGTTTCCCAGCGAGAACCCGTATGGCTGGGTGCGGTGGAAAAGGGGGGAAATATCTTGGTGTTGGTGTAACGCGGGGAGGAAATGGCACGGGCGACAGAGCAACGGATACTTGGGGCCGTCGGTCATTCTGCGGAGAACCCACAACTGCCACACAAGTTTTCGAAAACATGTATACTTTTTAACCTGTAAATCGGGGCAAAAAATTGACCTTCCCTATTTACATACCAACACCATAGAGGGAAATAAATTGTGTTTCAAAATCTTGAAAATGAGACATTTTTGCAAAATTACAAGACAAGTACAGTACCCTAATTTCCAAAGATTCCGCTCAATTGCTTGCAACCGCCCATAGAAATATAGGTGATGTGAAGGATCAATGTGAAAGTAATTTAATTCAATAATTAAAGATTTAAAGGCCAAATCAGCCCAAAATGTCATTCTGACTCACAGAATTGTGAGTCCTTTTATTTTTGGAAGCCTGATTCCATTTTTATCTAGAAAATTGTTCTTCTCATTTGACTGAATTAAGTTATTATTGAGCAGTGTCAACATGGAGTCAGTTACAAAATAGCATAGAATAATACAGTTTTCTATTCCTTGAAAACAATATTAGAGATCTTATAGGGTGCTGCTTGTACATTAATGATGTGGGAAAAGTAAGACAGATAAAAACGCATTACAACCACCTTCATTGGAACCTGACAGGTGCGTTATTGTGAAACATCTTAATTAATTGATATATACAGAAAATCGGGACTTAATTTCTGTTAAAAACCTGTTGTTAACCTGTTAATTTCTGTTGTTAACCTGTTAAAATCCAGTTTTTTTTTTTGCCATTTCAGCACATTATTATGAAGCACAATTGCAAAGTTTCCCCGCAGGATACTGCTGTACAAAAAAATGTGTCAAAACCGAAATAAGCAAGGTTTCCTGATTTTCTGATGGAATCAATCGATGCTTTTCTTTTAAATAAACTTTTTCTTCCATGCTGTGAGCAATATTGGATAATGATTCAAGATTGATTTCTTCAAAGAGGAAGAACAATAAGGAAACAAATTTTGAACGAACGTACTGTATGAAAATGGAGGAAACCAACAAAATGTATTAGTCATAAGGAATCCAAAATATGTTCAGGTCTACGGAAAAACCAGTCCGAACCTCTGAAAATTTTGTTTATAAGGGGTATTTCACTATAACTGAATTTTTACTACGTAACTCTGGTATTCCAGGCTAGACATCTTACGGTGCGATTTCCAGGTTGGGACGAGCCTCCCCAGCAAAGGTGGGGTATGTGGGTAGACAAATTCGAGAACCCCCAGGAAACGGAAGGTAAACCCTGGAGGGGAAAGGCGCGCTGTCTATGGGTCAGGGAACTCTATCGCACAGACCTGGTTTGTGGGTTCTGGGATACGAATAGGATGGGAGGGATTTCGGGGGGTGCTCGTGTACCAGGGGGCGAGAAACCTGGAGCTTTCTACCCCTCATGTTTTTCGCATCCTGCGCATGAGCGTCTTCCAAACAATTGCTAAAAGAAGTATATTTCGGCGAGGACTTCATTTGGAGCCCAATTCGATACTTCGGAAAATGAACAGTATTTATGACTAAGAAATAATGAACATTATTAAACTCATTTAATATGCATAAGATAATGTTAGCACCTTTTATTCTTGAAGACGTTGAGGTTACGCCTCTTTTGCAGAGTTTTCATTTTCTTACACGATCTTCCCACGGTGCGAATGAAAAATTTACTGTACAAATAGTGTATAAGAAAACATGATTCAGTACAATATTTCATTTGTTGACATTCTATAAATCATGCAGAAATTCTTTGAATCATGCAGAAATGATTTTGATCATACAGGCATTATTTTAAAATATTAAGAGAGGATTGAAATCTGTCCTGATTGGGGGATAATTAAATTTCAGAGCAAAAATTGAAATACCGCAATTTTTAATCTAGAGTTGTTTGTGCATATTATTTGTAACGCGTCCTTAATTTATAGAGTTTTATATGGGGGAGAAATTACCGATACTGTGCCAAGTTTGTGTCAGAGCCATTTGATATTAGAAATAAACGTTGTATTGAAAGAATTCATTATACATCCTTTGATTCATTTTCCGGCCCATTTAACGCACTTCTTGGTTTTCGGATTCCGAATGAACCCGAAAGAACAAGCGTCAATGTTGTTTTTATGCTGTCCGAAACTATTGAAAGGGTTGCCGACGGTGCGAAATTCGCCCACCACTGAAATTGTGTCTTCATCGTCTTCCAGGTCCAGGTCATTCCTGTGATGGTTCCTGCTGGTGGAGCTTGATGTTGTTGGACACATTCCACTGCTGAAGTGCCACTTGGAACCAACCCAGGAGCAGTCGAGACCACGGAAGGTGTGTCTTTTGGTGGGCACCACAATCAACGCCTTCATGTCCACGTCGGGCTCCAAGGTGGTGCACGTGGGCAAGAGGGTTTTTTGGTTCACTGACACCACTTGGCCAGAAGGACAGGGTCCATGAGAAACTGCAGGATTCAGAAAATTTTCTCAGAAAACATCCTGGTCTGTTTTGTCTTCATTGCATTTGATTTCATTCTGAGCTACAGGAACCAATTAAATTATTTTCCATATAGGCTACTCTGAGAAATGGTGCCTTAGAGCTTAAATAAAAATGCCTTCAAGAACAATAAAATGACTTGGATTTTCTGTCACCTCAATATTCCTGCTCTTGAAAAAAATATGTGCATCATGAACAAAACTACACTCCCAGACTCTTGTTCTGCATAACATACCAAAAGGGATCTTACCTGGTAGAATTAAATTTAATATAAAGTGTTCTTCTTTATTTCTGTTGCAACCCCCTGTATAATATCAAGCAATAGCAAATACAGTAAGTCTTGTAACAAAAAAGTTGTGGGACTTCAGAAAAAGTTTGTCATACTAAATAATTTTTATAGCAAGATTTTCAAAATTTAATGAAATTTGAAAACATTTTCACATCTGACATGCCTATATATTGTACTGGATTAGATCTTTTTCTGGGATTCTCCAATTTTATATCACTGTTTGAAACAATGAGTGATCTTTTGAACAACTAGCTTCAATCATGCATTCCATCAGTCATGCCAATCTCTTCATCCTGCTGGAAACCCCTCTGCATTCTGGGAGAATGATGTGTGTAACCACTTGGAAGCATGTTTTGTCATTGATTAAATCTGCTTCCATCATCCATGATATAAGAACCAGACAGTCACATTTGAGATTGGAAGTTTCAGATTGTGCGTGCTTGAGTCAGGAAATTTCTACGTAGGGAATCTTTTAACGTTACCCAAAATAGGTTTTTGTGGTGGAATTTGGAAGTTTGTTGTAATTAGATTGTTCTAAAATGTATTCTGTGGGTTTTCTATCAGGAATTGAGAAAAAGTGTGTTATACTGAAAAAGTGTTTGCAATGGCATTTGTTGTAACAAGATTTTACTGTATGTTCATTAATGTTGGGTTGACCTTTCATGTAATAATGAATATTTAGGTTGACAAGCTTGACTGATTTGATAGATGCTCACATTTCATGTAGCACAGACCATCAGCCCACAGCAACTCCCCTTCTAAATTGCAAGGGTTAGGCAAACATTGCACAGCATCATGAACAGGCATGAAAACTTGCCCTAGCTCACAATGGCCCCTTGAGTAAACCACGTGACAAGCGCGACTCTGAGGGGAATACGCAGCGCCGGGAGCGCAATCACACGATCCGATCCCGTGAACATTGTAATAAATCCCTTCATTTGATCCACAGAGGTCGCTTTGCACCCACGGCTCCAACAGAGGATTTCCGATTTCTTCGCCCGGCTGTGTCGCGGGGTAACAATTTCCGTCTTCCCACAAGAAATCGCCTGCATTATCACATGGTTTCGTTTGACACACCGGCGTCCAAGTTCTTGGATCAATCACCAACCATTGTCTTGGATCTCTGTTGCACGCTGCCACGCCTAATCGTAGTAATCGTTGACACTTTCCATTGTAGAGCACTTCGAGGTTGTTCCAATTACAGGGGCCGATGATGGTATCGATTGGATGCGGTGGTGGATGAAGTTGATTAGAGACATCTACCCGATCAAAGATAGATTTTAAATGATCGCTTCTTTTTGGTCCGTTGCGGAGACGCATCTCTTCCTCAGTGCTTCGAATTTGTTCATCGTCGTCTGCATCATCGGCGAATATCACTCGTCCAGCACGTTTAGAAACGATCCCGTTTATTAAAGGATTGGCTTTAAATGCATCTATCCCAGAATCAATCTCATCATCAGGTCCTCTGATCATTTTATCTGGTTGATTTTGAGAATCGCCGGGAAATCGAATTGTTGAAGCTCCATTGACAGGGACAATGACGACCAAAACGATTTGAATAAGCGCGGAAGTAAGACATATCGAAGCAGTTGATTTCATGATGTGATTATTTAAAAAAATGGCTTGTCTGCTCGGTAGAATTGAAAGACTCATTATAGATGCAGTATATCATGTCAAGAAAGGTACTGATTATTAAAGGACGCGAGATTCGAAAAATGCACATTTAATATAGGAATTTGCAAAATTAGTTTCTCATTATAAATTATTTTCTATGCTCCGAAACACCTGGTCGGAAAACATGAAAAAAATGGCAGCAAAACTAAAATTTCGTGAGCAAAACCCCGCAAATTTTCTTCACATTTTCAATAACAATATTCGCGAAACTGTTGAAGCACACGAGTTTCAAAAAGATGCAAAGACAAATGGTAGAAAGAAGCATTTTCACGCGTTTTCAGGAGGCAGATAAGTTTTTAAAATACTGTACTGTACTGTACTGTTGCTGAGACTGATGCAGTCATGGCTTTTCCTTTATTTTAATTTTAAGTTTCTTCTACTGCTGTCACATAATCAGGACGAGAAGATGATTGTTTACAGTTTCTGGTGACGTCATACGAAATGACAAGAGCAATTTTCGCTCAACACAAGAACATTTTCCTGATAATACTTCAACAGCAACTATTTCAAAAAATGAATAAATATAAAGTTGTCCATATTGTTCTCATTTAAAAATGATATCAATAACTTGTATCGCCGAATTCAAATCTACCGACATTCGTCCAGTTCCATTTCAAGAAGGTTTATACGGACATCCATTTTGAAGATACAGTAGTTGTGTTCTTTAAAAGCATGGGATCTTTTCTTTGACAATTATTATTATTCTTTTTATTATTGGTATCATATGATATGATTTCTGAGCCTTTTTTTACCTACAGTGTTTTTATCCCTCACTGCGTGGGTTGATGTGGGTTTCCCATTTTTTTGGCAAAGTATTAGTTCTGTGGATACATGTTTTAAAGTATGTTTCTTACTTCTTTGAATGGCATGATTTTTCTTTCATGGGAATTTTCCAAAATTTGTCTCATCCCGACATTTCATCTAACCGTGAATTTTGTTTCTTTTGACAGGGGTAAAATCTATTCTTCGGTAGACTTTTCGACAGAAACTAAAACTAAAATCGCAGAACATCCCAACAAAAAACCGCGTGGCTCACGATAATTCGCATGCAAAGCGCATGTCGGGAATAATTCGACAAAAAAACATCTCGGTTGCCTTGACTTCCAACAACATTATATGAGTCAGTTTTCCTCCCTGACTCAAACTATCCCATATGTTGCTGTTTGCAGCTCAGCCAGAACAAAATAAAGTGGTGGAACGACGCAGAAAAGCCGAAAGAATCGTAGGATTCTCGTTGATTATTTCAGGCTTTCTCTGGATTTTCTTATCCCAGATTAAACACTCGGATTACGCAGCCTTAATCGAGTTCAGAGGAGCAACAACGGATTCAGGTGATGTTTTAATAATTTGTTTTCATTTTAGCAGCATAGAAATAAGAAAGCAAACGCAGTCTCAAGTCAATGTAAAAAAAAATATTTGTAAATAATATTGTGGACAATACATACAGTATAAGCTAAACCACGTATTAAAAAACCATCATCACTAATTTTAGCGCAAGAAAAACCTAGAGAGAGAATTTGCAGCTGTATCATGCAATTTTGCAGTTACCTCTCTCTTGAAATCTTTTCTGCAAAAATCAGATCGTCCGATTCAAGGGTTCTACTCTAAGAATCCGCATTGATTTTTGCTGTTTGTGCTTGAAAAAAAAGTACATTAAAGATGGGGTTTTTTTTTCTCCTGTAACAAAGGGATTTTCTGGGAACATAGCGGATCTTGACCCCTTCAATATATACTGTACCATATGTTCACAGACGTCGTGGCGAAATTCAACGAACCCAGCAGAACCCAACGGGGTGGTTCTCAGAACTACATGAAACCCAAAGGAATTCCGGGATTGGTGACCCTGGTTCTCTCGTCCTGGAATCACGACAAACAACGCAGTGTGATTAGAAACACTTGGGGACGGCGGACAGCAAATGCATTTTTCTTGGTTTCTCCGCCAAAACACGCAGACATTGCAGACTTTTTCTGCGATTTAATAATAGTTCCGGGTGAAGAATCTTACAGGCGATTGACTGCAAAAACCATGTTTGGGCTTCGATGGATGTCAAGGTTTGCAGACATGGGAGAAAATGTCCTGGAGAGGAATTCCCGCAGGTAAAAAAAGCCCACGGGAATGAAAATCTCGAATATATTTATGACCATATATTTTGGAACAGACCTAGTCTGAATACCATCGATTCTTTGACTGCTGTAGGATTTTGAAAAAACCGGGTCATTTTATGTCACAGTATACTGGTAAACCTCCAGATTTTTACATTTTATTTCAGCTTCATGTAAAGATGAAACAACGTAAAAGGAAAACAACCTTGAAAAAAATTTCAGAGATGCTGTGGGGTCGCGTCCACGCGGCGTGACCCAAGCGTAGCATCCTTGCTCGGGCACACCGCGCAGCAACACCAGCACACAGACCTGGAAGCGGATAGGTACCCGGTTTGCCACATTGCGGTAAACCGGGTCAAGAGCAAGAGATAGAAATCTCCGGCAGCGGAAGCCGACACCAAAGTCCCGGAGACTTTGGGAATACGTCATTCAATCCTCAGAGCTTGTGTGTGCCTTACAGTGGTTGAGCTTACTTACGTCATAGCGCGATTGTCTGTCTTGCACCTCTGTGTACTTATTATCCTTCTGCGGATTTCTGTGTGTCTGGATTAAATTGCTGCTTTCTAAGGGACTCTACTAAAGAGGATCCGGCCGTTAAAGGCTGACTGACTGTGTCCATTCCTTTCTCTAATTCTTTGTCATTAATCGGCCTGACAAAAGTGGTGGCCAGTGGGTTTGCCTCTACGAGGTCGAACCCCAGCATTTCTTCGCAAATTTTGGGCACAGTTCCCTTCTTTATTGAAGTGTGAAATTTACAAGTGTGAACTTGCAGCCTTGCTGCCCTTACGTTTACACCCAGCCCACCTCACCCTCTGGAAAAAGCCTGTAAGTACTCACCAGTCCTTTTTGTGTGAAATTTTTCTCCGGCACAATGAACGGTGAGGAAGGCGCAGTCCCAGGCACGCCTCCTATCTTGAGCCATACCGTGGTACGCACGAACCTCCGCGAAGGCGGGGACCTCTACCGGCAGGGCCACAGCATCGCCTGTCCCCGAGCCCATCAAGCAACGGTAGCCGCAACAGTGCGCGGTCTAGATCCTTGCATCGCACGCAACAGGCGCCTCTTTCAGGCGTCAAACATAGATCTCAGCGTCCAGTGTCTCGCGGCGCCGCCTCAATCGCGGCCTCTAGTGGTCGTTCCTTGGCGTCGACCACACGCCGCCCCTCAATTATTAAGCAGGTCCTCTGCCTCGCCAACGCGGTAGGCGTGGTTGACTATATTTTGCGGACTCCCAAACTTGGCAATACGCAACAATGCTTCGAGAGCGTTGTACCACGATTTTTTGATGCCGCAGCGCATCTCATAAATTTATCACCTGCTGAGTTCTTGCAGCCCAAAATCGCTGCCCTCACGCGATTGGCAACCGAGGTGAACACCCTTCTGGTGCAATCCATGGATGTCATGACCGGGGGGTGGCCGCACCTCCGTCCGACGCAACCGCGCATCTTAGGGGTTGCTTTTCCCGCGGCACCTCAGGCACCAGTGCCTCCAATGACATTGGTGGCGCACGCCGTGCCTCAGCCCTCCCCCAGGGGGGCGCTGGTTCCTGTGTTACTGTCGCACATGCCAAGCACGTCGCGCGGCATGGGATCAGCAGCATCACATCCCGCGATGGGGCAACTTGTCCCTCTGCGCCCCATGGCGCCCGCACTATTACACCCACCAGCTCCGGCCAGCTACGGCAACTTGGAGTCTGGGCCATCCTTAATCCTGCAACTGCAGGGAAGACCCTACAAGGCGTATCACCACTCTCTTGCGACATACAGGACGGGGCAACCCACCAACCTATCCTACCATGATCTCGTCAAGTCATACAAGAAACAGGCCCGCAATGCCTCATTTAATAAATTCACTGGCCAAGCGGACTCAAATTATCCGTTTGAGCGCCTTTGGTGTGATTTTCTGCCAGTCCATATCATTCCAGCCATGCAACTCACGGACATCAAATAAATTCAAGTACTGTTACTTCACCTCAATGGTGAAGCTAAAGAAAATGTCGGCCCATTTGCGTACCAAGACGTTAACATGGACTACCTAAGCATTCTCCAGGTGCTCTTCTCCGAGTACAGGCAAACGGACGCGGTACGCATTAAGCTCTACCGCGAATTTGATCGCCTTCTGGCACCAAACACCCTGCCAGAATTCTATGACTACTTTAACAGAGTTGTCCAAATAACCGAGAAATTAAGCACAATTCAGACCGACATGAATTTTGTGCACCTCCACATGGGCCCTGTCCTGCGCGCGCATCTAGAGCAGGGTAATCACCTGGAAGTACTCCAGGCCTACACCGACCGCCACGCTCAGATGCCTGAGCTGGACCTGGTCTGGGCAACTCGCCCGCATCGGCAATACCGATTCATTTGATCATACTTCAGGCACAAACTCCGCATGGCGGAGGCGCCACCAGTTCTTGCATTTCAGGGCGCAGCGGCCTCGGCTGATGGTGCTGCTGCTCCCGCAGCACCCGCTGCAGCCCCGGCCGCGGCCCCACCTGCCGCAGCAGCCGCCGCACCAGTGGTTGCGGCCAACGTCAATCTGGCGAACGCGGCTCCATCGACTTCTAATGGGAATCGACGGCAACAACAAAACCGGAATAACAATCAGCGACGATCGTTTTGGCGAGGACAGTCGCATTCCCGCAGCCCCCCACGCAAGTGGCGGCGGCGCGGACGTTCCTCAGACCAACCACTTAGTTGCTCACCAAACCGGAGGAACGATAACCGCGGACCACCCCGCTGCAATGATAATAACTTCCGTCGCAACCAGGACAACAACTCCCGGGACAATCGCCGGGACCAACAGGCTTGCTTTACGTGTCC